CAAGAGGGCCGTCCGGTCACAGATCTGGTGGGTGATACATCCACAAAGAGGGTGATGACTAAAGACTGGAACATCACTGATGCTGCTGTCCAGTGGATCCGATACACTGCTGTGTCTCTTGCCCAGCCATTTGCACTATACGTGGGGCTCAATCTCCCCCACCCGTACCACACAGACTCCCTGGGACCCACAGCCGGGGGTTCCACCTTCCGCACCTCCCCGTATTGGCTAAACAAGGCAGGTTGCTTTACCTGATCTAATGGAGACATGAATAACCAGTACATTTCAAAATCTCAATCGAATTGGAGTGTTAAAACATTTAAGATTTACTTTGGGATTTGACTCCAAATTGAACAAGGCTTGAAACCTTAAAGCAGTGTGTTTCAGAGTAGAAGGGTTGAATAGTAAAAGGAAAGTAAACTAGGAAAATCCACCCACTATTCCCTTTATTTTCAAAATAGAACAGCAGAATTTGATCATAGATCTTCGCCCGTTAAATTAAAATTAAAATAGTGACAGACATAATTAACTTGAAAAAGTTTGTCCATTTTGTAATTACAACAGTTCCAAACAAATAACGTCAAATATATAAAAAAAAAAAAAGAATTTGCTCATGTGTTTTTGCTGTTTCATGTCATCTTTTTAAATGTATGATTCTGAAGACAACCATAGTTAATTTATGTGGCAGGGGCATGGCTAGGGATTCTAAAACTGCAATAATTAAGAACCGTTTTGTTTTTGTAATTAAATTAAAGCTAAAATAAAATATAAATATTAGATAGAAAAACTTAAAAAATAAATGTTGCCTTAGCAACTAACCGAAATAAAATAACTTGAAGTTAACTAAATTTACTAAAAAGTAATTAAACCTATATAGAATTTTTTTTTTTTAACTAATAAGAAAATTACATGACAAAATGAGTAGCATTTAAGCTAAAATGAAAATGAAAACTTAAAGACATAAAAATGAAGGTTAATTCAGAACATAATTAAATATTATAATAGCATATAAATAATATAAAAATAACTGCTGTTATTATGATTGCATATTTTTGGTTCATTCTAATTATTACTGATTTTGTTCACAGCATGTTCACTAATAACAGTCAGTCGGCAGTGGCAGTTTATCTGTAGCAGTAGTTTATCTGAGGTACTTTGACAATGATTGTGTTTTGTCTCAAAGGTTTCTTACGATCAAGTGTCTGTTCCGAAGTGGTTACGGGTTGAAGACATGCACCCTGTGGATTACTACTCCACCTTCACCAAAAATTGCAGTGGCCACTTCACAGAAGAGGAGATCAGAAACATAAGAGCCTTTTACTATGCCATGTGTGCTGAAACAGACAGCATGTTGGGTGAGCAGCCACTATACTATACTGTACTATACTATACTATACTATACTGTCATTATGTGTCTGTAGGTGAGGTGATAGATTCTCTCAGAGACACTGGCTTACTGAGCAGGACAGTCGTACTGTTCACTTCGGATCATGGAGATCTAGCAATGGAACACAGGCAGTTCTATAAGATGTCCATGTTTGAGGGCAGCTCGCATGTCCCCCTGCTTATAATGGGCCCAGGAGTGAAGACTGGCTTTGAAATCAGTCTACCTGTATCTCTAGTGGACATTTATCCCACTGTGCTTGGTAAGGGTGGGAACTGGTTGCTCCACTTGTATTAGTATAATATGTTGTTATAGGCAGAGGTTTAGTTATTCAAAATAAAGCTTGGCTTGATATTTGGGTGAATCTTAGCAAAAAAGAGTTCATACAGCCCATAAACCACCACCCTGTTTGGCCTATCACTACCAGTCAAAAGTTTTTGAACAGTAAGATTTTTACTGTTTTTTTAAAGAAGTCTCTTCACCAAGCCTGCATTTATTTGATCCAAAGTGCAGCAAAAACAGCAACATTTTGAAATATTTTTACTATTTAAAATTACTGTTTTCTATTTGAATATATTTTAAAATGTAATTTATTCCAGTGATTTCAAAGCTATATTTTTAGCATCATTACTCCAGTCACATGATCCTTCAGAAATCATTCTAATATTCTGATTTGCTGCTCAAAAAACATTTATTATTATTATTATTATTAATTTGATAACAGCTGAGTATAATTTTTTCAGGTTTCTTTGATGAATAGAAAGTTCAGAAGAACCGCATTTATCTGAAATAGAAATCTTTTGTAACATTATAAATGTCGTTATCATCACTTTTGATCAATTTAAAGCATCCTTGCTGAATAAAAATATTAATTTCTATAATTTCTTTCCCAAAAAAACAAAAATGTATACTGACTCCAAGCTTTTGAATGGTATAGTGTACAATGTTACAAAAGCTTTTTATTTCAAATAAATGCTGATCTTTGGCTCTTTCTATTCATCAAAGAATCTTGAAAAAATATATATAAATATTATTATTATTTTTTTTTTTTGGGGGGGAGATGAATTATGACCTGGAAATTATTTGATCTGTTTCCATCTGCGCTATATGCTTTGGTTAGATCTTGCTGGTGTTCCGCAGCCAGGGGGTCTCAGTGGTCACTCGCTGATCCCTCTGGTTTCTGGGGTCAGCGCTCAGTCAGCGGAGCCTCATCCCGTCTGGGTGCTCAGTGAATATCATGGTTGCAATGCGAATGCCTCCACGTATATGCTGAGGATCGGCGAGTGGAAGTACATCACATATGCAGATGGATTGACCGTTCCCCCACAACTCTTTAGTGAGATTCTTCTCATGATAGTACTGCTGATTATGTGTAATAATATATATCTTATTTTGCCCAACAGGGATGTGATATCCCTGCTATATATAACTGCCTTAAGTAACTGGTTTTGATGTTCTCTCCACATAGACTTGTCCAAAGATGAATCAGAATTGAGAAATGTTGCATCACATTTCCCTGATGTATGTCAGGACTTGGACAAGCTGTTACGCACCGTTGTGGACTATCCCAGTGTCTCCCAAGCTGTTCACCGCTACAATAAACAACAGTTTCTGGAATGGAAGCAAAACCTAGGAGACAGTTACTCCCAGATCATAGCCAACCTGCGATGGCACATTGACTGGCAAAAGGATGCCAAGTCCTATGAGAGAGTTATTGAAGAGTGGCTGTTAGGGTTGGATTGATCATCCGTTATATAACTGTCAGTGATCAGCACAAACAAGAGACTGTTCATGTTCCTATTTAAAACAAAAATAATACAATGTGATCTCCAAAAGTCAAGGCTACCCAGACAATGTACTTGAAATATAGTTTAATTGCACTCTACTTGTGAAATAACCTAAAAGATATTATTTTATTATTTTTATTTGGATTTAATCGTTTAAATAAAGGCAATGCCCTTAATTATTGATATAGCAAAATATATGTAGTCAAAAATTATTTATATAGCACATTTAAAAGCAAATTGACAAAAATATATATATATATATATATATGTAAGCTTTTCCTTTAGGCAAAAATATAATTTATTTTTTTAATTTTGGGATGAATTCTAACCTGGAAGTGTTTTCATCAGTGTTCCATCATGTGTGTTGCTGGTGTTCCACAGCTTTTAGATAATAGTATGATGGTATTTTTATACCATGGATTTAAATAATATTATTCATATACCAGGGTATTTACATAACACTCCAAGTTATCTCCAAAAAAAAATAAAAAATACAATGGAATTAACATGGTTGTTTTTTAACAGATTCCCAAAGGTAATCAACAAGTGGAGGTGATGGAACATAGTTTATGTAATACTTCGTACTACCGAAAGGGGGTGTTCTAAAAAGCCAAAACTTTAAAACCCAGAAGATAATCGTGAAACGCGTGTGTACAAGCGACAGCAGTCACAGTATGTCAGAACAACAGTGTATTGTTGCTGTAGACACGCAGTGTTGATTTCACTTCTAGTGCAGTACTGGTCACGTGAATCTCTTGGAGCGAGGGTCAAAGACTTGAAGGCAAACGCGATCGCTGCATGTCATTTGTTTGATCAGATGTTTGATACCGGAGTAGGATGGGCTTTCGCACCTGGCACTGTTTACATCAGAGCTTAAGCGATTTATAAACTAGTGTTTGTGTTTAGTCTGTTTAAATTATAACGCGATCTAGTCAAATTAAAAACAGGACGAGTGCGGACTTTTTTCCTATTTTTCCTGATGTCGGACTGCAGCTCGTCGGGTTCAGATGAGGATTTGGACCCGGAGTTAGAGCTGCTGGACGAGCTCGGCGGCACGCTCAGTAAGGTAAACACAAGAGTACTGTAAAACGACACACTTTTACAACGTTTTTTAGTGTGCAACAGTATTTGGGCTTGGATTTGTGTTAACTAATGTTAGTGAGTTACTTTCGTTTGCTTATATTTATCTGAAACGTCGCAACTTGTTGGAAGTTTTGTGACTGCGCATGTTTGCCCTACCATTACAATCAGTAACATACGAGCGATGTCTGAATTAAACTAGGGTGACCATACGTGCTATTTTCCCAGGACGCGTCCTGGCCAGGATTTCTGGGAAAATGGCACGTATGGTCACCCTAAATTAAACAATACGGTCTACTTTTCAGTGAGTGGTGTTGTGACAACTGCACTTAAAGATTCGTTTGCGAATCTGACTGATTCGGTCCGAGCGGTTATCGAGTCAGCACCTCATAAATCCTAAAATCATATATATATATATATATTAGTACGTATTAGAGCAGGGGTGTCCAAACTCGGTCCTGGAGGGCCGGTGTCCTGTAGAGTTTTGCCTCAACACAAACTGACTCTGCAGGACACTGGCTCTCCAGGACCGAGTTTGGGCACCCCTGTATTAGAGCATGTTGCATCCTTACATAAATTAGTCGTACTTTTTTCTGATTCATGGAGAAGAATCACATCATGATGATCCTACTAAATTAATGTATTTCTTTTATATTTTTTTAGATAATTGTTTTATGACAACATAATAGCAGTCATTGGCTACATGACTTGGCATTTTAGGGAAAGCCTTACATTTTTAAATTTCTGTGAAAGAGTACGTCAGTACATTTGACATTTATAAGTTAATTTTATAAAGTCTTTCATATTTGTGGCAATTTGTGTCAAAAACAAGCAGTCATTGGCTACAAGGCTTGGCATTTTAGGAAAAGCTGTACATTTTTAATCTCTTTAATATATATGTTTTATCTTCTGGGTTTTTATGACACAAGTTGTGTTATGAAATTCCATTCAGTTATTGTAGTTTGGGTAATGTTCCATTAAAGTCCTGCTGAACTTTGAAGCCTTGAACCTTCAGGAAGGTTTAATCTTTATGTTGCAAGTACTTGAAGTGATCACTGTAAGCCACATGATATGAAGCATGATTCGAATAACTAACTCTCTGTTTGTCTCCAGTGGACAAACTACATTCATGGATGGCAGGACCGCTGGATTGTGCTGAAGGGCAATATTCTGAGTTACTACAGGTCAGCAGATGAGAAAGAGTACGGCTGTAGAGGGTCCATCTGTCTCAGCAAGGCTGTCATCACGGTAAGGCTGATCTGATCTGATCTGTAGAGCGTCCTGTCATGTTTATCTGTATGATTATCAGGGGCTTCTCTTGACTGCAGTATCTTGGCTTCACAGTGGTGTGAAGAGCTGATATGTACCACAGTGTGAAAATATTTGAGCAGTAATGCTTCCTGCTCATCGTGCAGTGTTTATCCATCTGCTACTGTCAGCGGGAAGCTGTCGTACTTGTTTTGGGGGTTTCTCTTGAACAGCATGATTGTTTCAAGGTGGACAGAGGAGAAGATGTGGTTAAGTAGAAAATACAAGGGGACTCCACTACTTACTTTGAACAGACATACAGTGTCATCCATACTAAACATCCTGCAAAACCACATCTAAATACTTATAATTATAATGGGGCTTAAAAGACAATTATTCAGAAAAAATCAGAAAATGTTATTGATCTGACTGTACTGACATTATCAGATGACAACACAACAACTTGAGTTGAACTGAGCTGCATAATGACAATGAGTTGCTTTTGAAGATGTTTCATAATCGATTAGCTTTTCAACATTGACACAGTTAAGAGATATTTAAGCTGGGTAATGTGAGCTGCTTTGTAGCTGAAATTGAATTTTTTATAAATGATGAGTTTTGCAACTTGACACTGTCATTAAACTAAACTGAATCAGCATTGAACTGACTTGAGCTGAATAATGTCTTCTGTAAAGTTGCTTTACGGCTGACAGTGAAGTCATTTCATAATTGATGAACTTTGCAACATTAACACTGTTATTTTCCTGTTTATTACTGTGAAGCTAGTTTAAAACAATCTGCATCGTATGAAGTGCTGTAGAAATGCATGTGACTTGACTTCTCAGAGGTTATTTTTTGTACAAATAGATAGATTTCCACTTTTCTTTGATACTGGGCCAGTTGATTCTTTAATGTCATTTGTTTTTTTTTTGTTTTGTTTTTTCCTTTCAGAAAGATTATATTTTCTGCACAATGCAAGTTATTTAATGTGAACTTTATTCCAGTCTTGCTTTTTAAAAAAAAAAAAAAAAATAGTATAGTATAAAAGTAGTATAATAGTATAGTAAAAAATAGTATATAATGACTTTTTTTTTTATATATTTTTTTTTTTTCCTTTCAGAGAGATAATATTTTCTGCACAATGCAAGTTATTTAATGTGAACTATATTCCAGTCTTGCTTTTTAAAAAAATAAAATAAAATAATATAGTATAAAAGTAGTATAATAGTATAGTAAAAAATGGTATATAATGACATTTTTTTAAATGTTTTTTGTTTTTTTTTTCCTTTCAGAAAGATTATATTTTCTGCACAATGCAAGTTATTTAATGTGAACTTTATTCCATTTTTGCTTTTTAAAAAAAAAAAATTAAAATAGTATAGTATAAAAGTAGTATAATATAGTAAAAAATAGTATAAGAATAGTTATCAAATTTTAATTATGTCTATGAGCTGGAGTTCTGCATGTAGTGCAGGTTGTTTCAAGTGCAGAAGTTTGGCAGCAAAACTACAAGGAAATGTCCAACAAAGCACATTTTGTCTTTAGGTTGACACACTATTGCTGCATTGTTCTGGTACTGAGTGATTTGAAGTAGTCTTGAGCATTAGAACAGGGAGAGCAGAACCGCAGGAACGTGCATATCAAATATCTCATTGTGGAAAAAGGTGATCTGGGAGCAGTTCTTGCTTCGCCTGATCCAATAAAAATGGGCATATGTAAAGAAAGAAGACCAGTTTATAAAGTATTGTTCCTATTAATGCCTTGAGACCTTTGTAGTGTTTTCTAGGGGATGTTCTTTGCTCTAAAAAAGGGCTGCTGTTAAAGATCATGGACAGTTTAGATCAAGATCTCCAAAAGATTGTTTTAGAATCCAGTTTTGATTGTTTTGACCAATTTTTGGGTGAATGAATTTCTACGAACACTGACTGCACATGTGATCAAATATGAGTGGAACAATGATGCCTGTGAAACAAGGCTTAGAAATGCTGGGAGACTTTGAAGCCGGTCTGATCCCAGAGTCAAATCTGGAATATCTGTGTTTGGTTGATTTCAGTGTTTGGAGGAGGAGAAAACAGAGATGATCCTCAAACACTGATCTGGCCTGAATCAGTGCTCTGTCTCTGATAACAGCTATTCTACACAGCACTAACAATTCTGTGTCTGTGTTCAAAAGACAACAAACCAGTCCCATTACTAGTTTTACTTAGTACTAACCACTACGCCTGCAGAAAGCACATACTACAAAGTATGTCCACAGTTTACTATGCAATGCATGAAAAATTACCACACCAGATATTGTGAGCACAACTTAAAACTTTACAGTCTTTTCAGCTTGATGCACCTCTTTCTGTTTATTAGAGTTAAAGCAGTGTATGTATTAACTTTTAAGTAAACATTTTTAGTACACCCTTTAATAAAGTTTTAAAGTATAAAATGTGTTAAATAAAGTATTAAAAATGGCTGTTAAACAGTGGTTTTCCAACAATTTTCCCACATTCTTTTATGTAAAATTGTACATACCCTAAATGATTTGGGGTAGGGATAGGTTTAGTACCTTAAAATATTCTAAAGTTTGCATTTTATACAAATATAGAATATAGCTTCTCATATTTTAGATGTTATAACCTAATCCTAAATTGGAAAAAAAAAAGTTATTTTAAATAATTATTAAAGGGGTCATATGATGTTGCTAAAAAGAACATTATTTTGTGTATTTGGTGTAATGAAATGTGTTTATGCGGTTTAAGGTTCAAAAACCGCATTATTTTCCACATACTGTACATTATTGTTTCTCCTCTATGCCCTGCCTTTCTGAAACTCATTGATTTTTACAAAGCTCATCGGTCTGAAAAGCGAGGTGTGCTGTGATTGGCCAGCTATCCAGTGCGTTTGGCCAAATACCTCAAGCATGTGACGGAAATGTTATGCCCCTTACCATACTGTGATGCCCTGTCCGGCTGGAGCGGCGATTCAAAAACATGAAAACCCATTATAAACGAGGCATTCGTTGCATCCAGTGGGGACATAATTATGGATTATAATGACTTATACTGTCTTTTTACGCGTTGCGTTGCATCGCGCCGCGTAAACATAAAACCATGTCTGCATTTGTGATCGGAGAAATGACAAACAACAAGCCCTACTCTACACTGCCCAAAACTCGCATTTGAATCATCAGTGGCAAATTCTTTAAATATAAAAAACTTACTTGCAGTCTGTGAGTCAGAACAGCGGGCATTGTAGTCTACTCTCTCAGGATCAGGAAACAGTCCTCCATAAAATGCGCTGCACACATCTGAATATTTGGGTTGAAGTGTTCTGGAACAGTGTTGTAAATACAACTTAACCACTGATTTCTAGTCGTGTCCATTTTTGGAAAGCCAAACCACGTAGTTTCGCTTTCACAACGAAACACAGCGTCACGGCGGCGGCCTAGAGTGAGGAACGGCCGGAGGGCTAGAGTGAGCAAAGGCGGCAGGCTTGAGAACGGCGTGGCCGGTGGATTCGACGAAGGAGCGTCTGGAGGGCTTGCGGCAACAACATGTGAAGACCCCGGGCTGGACTCTGCTTCGTCCACGATGAAAGCCGATCCGGCGATCCACAGCGCGAAGTTGATGTATTTCCTCAGCGACCAGCACGGATCAGCTCTAGGCATGACGAAGCCTTCATGACATGGCGGCGGCAACAATACTACAGCGAGAATAAAAGTTACACCTTCTTTCTTTGCGTGAACATTTAGGCGGCATTATGCTAATTTTCCCACATCGTGAGGTAGATATGTGGGGGCGTGTTAGAACGAGCCGTTTTAGGTAGGTGTGGCTGACTCTTAACTTTTATAAAGAATATCTCTTTGGATTTGAGACTTTAGTCTTTGCAACTTTACAGATCTTCTTTATGCACCAAGAGCTTGTAACACTCCAAAGAGAATGGAAAAATTGAAATCGCATCATATGACCCCTTTAAAGAATTTAATTGGATAATTATATTTAGATTTAATAAAGGTTTCAGTTGTCTTCAATGACAGTCATATGTCATTGTATGTAAGTGTTCAGTGCAGCTTCTTAGCAATTGACCAGTTGGTTCATTTAGGTTCATCAGATAAAAATAGCAATACTGTAGTAGCTAATTATGAAAAAAAAAAAGAAAAAAAAAAGGCAATCTGGTAAAATTGTGCTTTGGTAAAGATGTAAATTCCAAACTATGGATCATTTGTGCACTGCTTAAAATAGCTGGTGGCTTCCCCTAGTTTGTGTATGAGGTGGTCTGCTGTTTTTGTTTTACTGTTATTTGCCATCTGTAAATGTTTGAGATTTTCAGTGACCTATTCAGTGATGCAAATCTATGTTGTGGTGGCGAGGAGTTGTTTATCAGGAACAGCAGGAAAAGGTGCTCCAAAAACATAATGGTAGACAGATTTGAATAAACATACATGGCCCATAAACTTTTTTTAGCGTGTTCATTGTTATGATCTGTTCTTGTTTTTGATGTTCTCTTTCTTTCAGCCTCATGAGTTTGATGAATGCCGTTTTGACATCAGTGTGAACGACAGCGTCTGGTACCTGAGGGCTGAACATCCTTTGCTCCGGCAGCAGTGGATCGATACCGTTGAACTTCACAAGGTGAGTCCGTCAGAAGCAGCAAAGCCTCTAGATAAACTGCCGCTCGGCTCCAGTGTCTTTCTGATAGTGAGGGATCAAGTTTGGGTGGCAGAACCTGATTGGGTCTTTTATTTCTTTTGTTGAGGCTAGAAAGGTGTTGAAGGCACAGTTGAGTGGAATGTGTCCCGCATAGGTTTGGGTACCGAAACCCGGTACCAATATGGCACCGGTACCTATGTAACCGGTATGTACTAGAACCGAATCAGAACGCAGATTTCGGTGCCTCATTTCGGTGCCATGCCTGAGCGATCGATTGAAGTATTTGTCCTCTGGTTCTCCGAAACGGACGTAAGAAGCATCATCACTGGCACCGCACGTGAAAAATAATTTCCTGACTGAGAAAATGCTCGTGAACTCTAGTCGGAAATCTCTAATAATACAAATCCAACAAATCTTTGTAGTAACATGAGTGTCCATGTTGTTTTCACATTCCGACTTAAGCACAACTCGGGAAATGAGAGCATTCGAGGAGCACGTCAATGCAGTAATTACACTTGCTCTGATGGCAGCAGGTATCTTTCCGTTAACTAAGCTAAACATGCTTAAATTAAAATGCCTAAAGCTAAACTTCCCTTGTATTCACATTTCTAAACCTGTTGTCCAACAAAAG